GCATTTATACACGTTTTTTAAAATTAAGTAATTTATTTTTATTGAAAATTAATCATTGTAACATTAAATAATCTAGCAAAAGTAAATTATAATTTTCATCTGAAAAAGTTAAATGTTTGTTAAAAAATATTATTATTATATTTAAAAATAATAAAAAGAAACCCACAAGAGAGTCATGTCTTTGGTATTGTGTTTTAATTAGTGATAAAAGTACAGTAAAATATAATAGAATGAGATGGATAGAAGGAAATATAATAATAATTATTCATTTGAAATAAACATAAACAGAAATAAACATAAACAGAAGGTGTCAGGAAAAGCAGAGGAGAGAGAAAAGAAGCGTGGCCACGTCAGCGGAGTTAACACCGTTATTACCAACTTAACGGACAGGACTAAATTCATACACTTTTCATAATATAGGGACCTAATGTCTTCATTTTTAAAACCGGATACTAAACAGCAATTCACCTCTTAACATGGGGACTAAGTAGGTAATTAAGCCTTTTTTTAAATGTTTTCCCAATGAACTTGATCAGAAATAAACTCCATTAGTAATATTGTGACAATTCCTAATCTGACAAGTTTTCAAACATGAATGCACCATCGGATTAGTTAATGGCTAACATGAATAACAGTAAATATGTTAGGCTGGAACTTATAAAGCAGATTATGTGGTATGTGAATTAGATAGGTAGATATATGTGATTAGAGAAGGAATTTGAGGTGTTTGGGAAAGGCAATGAAGTAACTTTGCATGTGGACAGTATAATTTAAACGTTAAGTCTTATATTAAAATAAAAATGAAAAACAAATTGTAAAATAGAGACTTATAAATTCATTATTTTAAAATTTTAAGATTAAAAAAAATTGAATTAAGTATCACAAAAAGACCTTATCACCAATTTTATATATTTTTTACATATTTTTTAATCGACTAAAACTAATAATATTAAATTAATTAATAAAAGCATATTTAATTATTATATATATATATATATATATTTAAATTATTTATTGGTTTTTTTAAAAATTCTCAATTAAGCCTTAAGATTGTAATGCATCTTAATTGAGTTTTTATTTTTTTTTTAAATGTCATGCAATTAAGTCATTTTTGTTAGTATAATACTAATGATGCTAACTTGTCACATGTCACTTTATTGTTTTTTTATTTTTAAAATTTTAAATTTTTTTATTAAAAAGTGCTATGTGAGATGAGATCCTATCATGTGGCATAGACAGTGTGAATGACAATAACAAGGTCACGTGTCACTGTTAATGCAAGTATCATATGAAAAATCTTAATTTTATCCATGTATTTGTTATTTTGTCTCAAATTTATGTATAAAGTTTAAAAATAAATTGGGATTGAATTGAGACAAAATAACAAATACAAGGATTAAATTGAGATTTTTCACATGTCACTTGTTTAAACAGTGATGCGTGACACTGCTACTGCTACGTCACATTGTCTTTGTCACGTTGCAAGACCCCTTATTTGACACATGACAATTTTAAAAAATAAAATAAAAATAACCACGAACTAACACATGACACATAAGTTAACATAATTAATATTGTACTAACGAAAATGATCAAATCGCATCATATTTTCAAAAATAAAGAACTAATCGAGTTCAATCACAATCTAAGGACCTAATTTAGATTTCCAAACAAAGCGAAGACCAACCGAAGATTCAAAAATATATATGCTAAGTTTATTCCAATTGTATATATATTTAACTTAATTTTATATTTTCCTATTTTTTACATGTACCATAAATATGTCTTACCTTTTCACAAACCACCACAATTTTGATTAAGTTTAATTACATTACCTTTTATTCTTTTCCACATCCAACATGTTAGTAATGAAGAAAGAAAAGATGTATATTATGCACATGGTGAGGATAATCCAAATTTTGTACTTCATAAGTATGCATATGGATCATTATAGTATTGGATTTTCATCATTTTTGTGTCCTTGTTATTGTTTTTTTCTTTTGATTTCCAATTCTAATTATCTTTTGTTCATAGAATAAATTGTATGGTAAAGTTTTTGCTTTTAAAAAATGAAGACTTTTTTTTTACTATTATCCATAACTATATTTAATTTCATTAAATTGATGAGTTAGTGGCTTAAATGTTTCAAGTATCTATAGGGTTAATGTTTTTCTCATGATTGACGAGAATCTATGTGCTACCAAGCTACATTTTATCTATGGCTATTGGAATCTATGTGCTAGCAAGCTACATTTTGTCTATGTCAATGAGTATGTTAAAGAAATTATTCTATAATTTATGAAGGCATCTTCAATATGAAGAAAAAATAGTTACTTATAAATACTTACATATCCATTTTAAACATAATTATATATGGGTATGGTTCATATATAATTACATATGAATCTTATTGTACGAAATTACTTACAAACATAATCCATACATAACTTATATATATTTACCAACAAATTTATTTGCGTGTAATTACATATTGACATTGTCTACATATATTGTTAAAGAAAATTACCAACGAATTTCAATAATTCGATTAGATATTTGTTACCTATGAAATTTTTGTTTTAGGTAATTCATGAGTAACATAAATTTACATAAGTGTTTTATTTTTTTCTTACGAATCTTAGTAGTAAGTAATTGTCACTTTTCTTGTAGTGATACTTCATTTGACAAACACAAGTTTTGAGCGTTTTATGATACACGTTAAACTTATAAATGTTTATTTTATGCTTGCAAGTGTCTTAGATCTCACAAAATTTTGTTAACATTAAGATTCCTTGAAGAAAGTATTGAAAGTTGCTCAATAGAAACAATTTTTCTAAAAAATTTAGAATGTTAGTGTTGTAGAGTCAATCAACTATGTTAAACCCTACACTTTACTCAAAGGTGAAAAGAAGCTACTTATCCTAGGTTTAATAAGTCATATCATATATTAGAGAAATTGGTAAAGAAGTTACACACATTTAATCTTACGTTGAAACATTTAATATGTCTCTAAGCTCCAATCCAAACGTGAGCATACGATAGTTGAAGAAAAAGAACTTTAATTTGTCTCACAATAACTCCAAAGGATTTATAATGTCTCATTTCTTCTCAAGCTCTCTATATAAAATATATATGTTAAGAAGGAAGGTTAATGAAGCTCTTGCAACAAGATCTAATAGTCCTAAGCAATCCTTAGCGTTATTTTTCAAAAATTTTAATATACAATTCAATCATACATTCTTGTGTATTTAACTTATTTTTCACATAATTTAACGACACAAAAAGACTTAAGATCACATGACATGTGATTTGAGGTAGGGATCCATAAAAAATGAGACATATTTGATGAATTAGATGAAGATAAACCTTTGAAGGATGTAATAGATATAACATATGATTGAATCCTATATTGTTTTTCAAGATCACATATACTAATTGAATGTAGAGAATCTTTAATTTTATTGACCATATTTAATTTCACAACAAAATAGCATAGAACAACAAAATTAAAAAATACAACAAAGTAGATGACTAAAATCAAACTAGACAAGATAACCAAAACTAAAAAAAGAGTTGAAATAGAAATGAAGAAGTGAAGGCAACTATGAGTGATGGATTACAAGTCATGATAGAATAAGGGTTGTAAAAAAGAACACAAATTGGATTGGATTGCAAATAGGGTCATGAATTGGATTGAAGAAGAAAATTTTATCTACCAATATTGCACCATGGTAGAGAGTTTCCAATCACAAACTAAGCTCTTGATACCATAATAATAATTAAACAGAGGATGAGGACACACCAAAATTGTCTAGTTCAACACTTGTTTGGTTTAACACGCTCATCTAACGTGGCGTGCTCTTCCACACATCTATTATCCTCACAATAAAATTTATTAACACAGGCTGAGAATGAGACGTTGTAGTGCATATGTACACATTTCTCATGGGTAATAAAAATAATTATTATTTAAAATAACAATTATGGGGCGAATTTGAAAGATAGTATTTTTACTTATTAAAATAGTTTTATTTTTCTATGGTTAGGATGGTTTTTTTATTTTATTTTATGATGTTATTTTAAGTCACCGAGAAGTTAAATAGGAGAAATTGATTAAAAAAATTTAAAATTAAAGAAAAAAAAAACTGGACTAAGGCCCAAAGTAAGACGAGAATTCGTCCCTGGTCTCATGAATTCCGAACTCGTTACATTAAGCATTGGGGGGTATAACTAGCAAAGGTTTTCCCTAGCTTGTACTAAAAGGAAAACTAAAAATGGAAAATATATTAAAAACTGAAATTTAATATTTTTACAGTCAAATTTTTAAATATTTTATTGATTGAAAAAAACAAAAATACATACTTTTTATTATTCTAGTTTATTTTATAAATTAAATTTATCCAATATTAGTAAAAAATAATATTTTTTTTATTAATTTTATTTATTTAAAACAAACCATTTAAAAAAATTTTGTTCACCAATTTCCCATAAGCAAATCTAGTGGAGTATCTCCTATTGCAATTTTATTTCTATGGTGGGTCATCAACGTGTCTTCAGTTAATTGAAAAACAGCTGTTCCACCAATTTTGGACACTATTTCGTCCAACAAAATTCATAGCAAGTACTATTCTGCTTAATTTCCATTAGTTTCCATTACAGCAAAAACAATCTTCAATCTCGTAAGTAACAAATTTTCATGTTACATTGAAGAAGTCCTAAAGACAACTAAGATAAGCAACAAAACATTTACACTTGTCTAGAATTTATTACATGGGGCTTTGTCTGAAAGCATGAAAGAGCTGATTTCTAACAAGCACTGAAGTGGGTTTAACAGAGATACACAGTAATTAACTGCTTCAACCTTGAAAGGGTGATTATGCTAGCTAGCCAAAGAGTAGGTTACCAAATTCATTTGTCTTCAATAAGTTCCTTTTTCTTTGGGTCCTATGGCGCGTCTCACCCACTTTATCAGGCCTCTGTCGCAATCCAACATAACATAGCCGCACATTTTGATCCCTGTTCACTTCGTTTTATTTATATCTAAACTTTACACAAATATCTTTCTCTGCATAACTTTTTCTGCTCTTTCGGAAAACGTCAAAATTTCCCACTCATTCTTCGTTACTGTCTCCCGTGTCTCAACCACTATCCCAATTCCATTAAAAGGAAATAAAACTAATAAATGAACAATAAAATCAAAATCGTAGCCATTTTACCCGCCACATTTATGCATAGAGTTTCTAGTTTTCTAGTTTATAAATCCCACACCCACCACACACCTCAACGTAAACTAGCTAATAATAGCTATAGTTATAGCTATATTATACTTGTACAGCACTCATTGCAGCACATCGCTTGATCTTCGTCAACCATGGACTGGTTCTCGTGGTTGTCCAGGACCAGCCTAGAACCCTCCCTCATCTACGACTATGGCCTTGCCTTCGCCCGCAATGAGCTTCAGTTGGAAGATGCCACCTACTTCAACCACGAATTTCTTCAGAGCATGGGCATTTCCATCGCCAAACACAGGCTCGAAATCCTCAAGCTCGCCAAAAAAGAAGATGGGGCACTCAAAAGCATCAAGCTTTCTGGGGTCATCAAGAAGTGTCTGAAGAAGTGCTTCAGCCTGGTTTCGCGTGACGATCATCAAGAAGCGATGATGACGATGACGAAGGAGATGCCACCTGAGCCAAACTGGTACCAAGGGAAGTGGAGAAGGGCCAGGCACAAGAATGGGAGTGAGGAACTCAAGGGAGAGAATAAGGGAGTCGTGCAGAGAAGCAGGAACATTGCACTGTCAGGGCCTTTGGATGGATCAAATGGAAGAGTATTGCATGAGAAGATGGTGAACAACAGCAAGTTTATGAAGTTGTCTGGTCCTCTTGATGGGAAGATCAATGGCTGTGAGAGAGTGGTGTTTGCAAATGCAAATAGAAGTCCTACAATGAGTTCTGCTCCTTCTAGGCCTCTCGATGGAAGGTTCATCGGCACAACAAAAAGTCCAAGGCTTTCTGGGCCACTCGATGCAAGAGCAGTGGTCTGTAATAGAAGTCCAAGGTTACCTAGACCTTTAGATGAGAGGGCCGAGAGCCCAATGGGGTACAGTCCCTACAGTAAGGTCAGAGCTGATGCAGCAGCAGATTATGATGATTATTATGCAATTTGGCCTACATTGTTTGAGGATCTTAAACCAACTTAGATTATATATTTTGTGTTTGTGTTCTCTCGGCTTATTTTTATACTTTGATGACGAGTGACTGCAACGTTTTTTCATACAATAATGACAAGTAGCGCACATGAAAATGATTCTGATGTTCACTGCAACTTTTTTGTATGTCTCAACTATGAGATCACATCATTTATCGACAATTTGGCTAATATTAGCCCTTGTCACAGTGACATGTTTCTTCTTATTATATTTAAGAAAACCTTGTATGATCCGTGGATGAAACAAGGGATCTGTTTAGTTTCTTTTGAAGAATAACGGTTGGGCTTTGCGTCAAATGAAACAATTAAGTATAATTTTCAAACAAGGACATCCCTATGATTTACAGTAGTTTCTCGAAAACTTTAAGAAATTATTCATATTATCAGCACTTTTAAGATTGTTATTTTTTTTTAGATTTAAGTTTTTTTTTTAAGGCTAAGCTAAGATTGTACTGTATGCATTTTTAATTGAGATTTTGTTAAGTTTCTTTTATTTACTTTTTTTTTCAATAAGTTCTCATCATTTTTTTGTTAATTAGATGACATGATTGGCGAGTTTTATCATCTTGTTTATTTATCTTCATGGGTTAAGAAACGTAAGATTTTGTAATTAATATAAAACCATTTGTTTTATAATATTATTAATCAAATTGCATCTGTTTTATAGACATTTACGTAAAAAAAAAAACTTTATTTATCAGTAGACACTAACCCAGTCTTGACATGTGAAGTTGACATTAAATGTTAAAAAAATCCAACGAGGAGCTTGCACAGTAAATAAATATTAAAAAATTAGCTTAGAATTCATGTGCATATGACAAAAGGTTTGGAGCATAAAATCCAAAAAAGACCACAAACATATATCCCAAATCATTCTAAGTTCAATGTTTTTCTGTAGACTAAGTAATAAGAGTATCATCAGATTACAATATGTGACTGTCAATGTATATTAATTGGCCTCAATCCTTTGGTAGACAGAACACCTTTAAAACTAACACACAAGTACGACCAAAACTTTGGACTTGATAGTTGATGTCCAGTTACATTTCCACTGCACCACTGACAGATCAAAAGCAAAAATAGCACAACTGGTAATGTAATAAAACTAGGAAAGGCTCAGTTTTATTCATTGTTGAAATTCAGCAGATTTAGTGACTTGAAGATATCTGAGGGTGCCTGAAAGAGCCTCCAGCATAAAGCATTCGGTAAACAGGCTTAATTCTCATAGTCACGATAACGCACAAGATTATGCCAACAGCACAAACCCCAGCAAGAATGAGAAAGGTAAGCTTAAAGCAATTTGGACCGAGGCACGAAACACCAGAATCAATAAGGTCTATACCATGCTGCTTTGCTGCCTCACTATCGTATATGTTCCCTGCTAGCAGAACAGAAAAGAGCACTGCACCAAATGGATTCCCCAACCCAATGACGCTGCTCAGTACACCGTAATGCTTCAGACCAAAAACTTCAGAAACAGTGGGGATGATCACGGAGAGTTGCACGCCATAGCACACACCGAGGAATGCAACTGCAGGGTAAAGGGTTCCGCTGATAGCATAAGCAAACAGAAGGTATACAATGAGCATAATTATCTGCGTGCACAACATCCACACAGTTCTTGGAAGTGATTTTTTCCTGAAAAACGTCAAAAAGCATGGATTATAAATAATCTCTTTTTATTCCGAAATCATCCATAAAGAGGACAGTTTTCCCTTTTGGTTTATCAAGATGCTGTAGTTCTTCTATGTTTCTATTATATATTATACCTCTATATCTCATACGTAGTTGTATTAGATTTTCATAATTCTTTTTTTAAAGGTTTGAGTGCTTCATAGATATGTTGCTATAAATCAGTACAGTATCCACAAGTATCAGTCTAATCATCCGTGAAACAGAAGAAGTATCAATGCTTACTAATCTATTGATACTGTAACTTATGCAGCTCAAAATTATATCTCAATTTTGTCAGCAAAAGTAAGTGTCACTCACCTGACAAAATGTTCTGATACAACTCCTCCACCAAGCCGCCCCAGAAAATTGCAAAAGCTGAAAATTGACAGCAAGGTGGTGGTGTCTTCCTCCCCTCGGGCAATACCTATTTGGGCGAGATTGTTGAGAACAGTAACCCCAGTGCCGACGCCAACGAAGTAGACCAAAAACAGAAGCCAGAAATCAGCCTTCACTATAGCCTCAGTTAGCTTAAAATCTTCTCCACGTTTAGGCCTTCTCTTCTTCTGCTTCACAGCCCCCTCACCCAAGGCAAGAAGCTCAGCAACCTCAGGCAAATCATCCTGATCATTAAAACTCCCAAGTGCCCCCGCCGACGAAGATGCCAGCAGCGGCGCCGCACTCTCTTCTTTCCCTTGAATTAGAAACTCAGAAGATCCAACTTGTTGCTCTGATTTAGTCCCATTCCTTGGAAACAGCGTCATCTTCAAAGGGACAGCAAGCGGAGCCATGAGAAGCAGAACCATCACGGTCACCAAAGCATACGAAACAGCATCGCTAAACGTGTAGACATTACCAAGTATGGTACTAACAAGAAGGTAAACACCCATTATCACACTGGAAACTTGGACAAACTGAAAATGGTAAGGCTCCGCAGGGTCATCACCAGTGGCCGGCGTACAGGGCCTAACGAGAAACATCATACTCAAGCCTATAACAGGAATACCAATGGCAAGAAACAGCAGGTACTTAGACGAACTGTTACGAAGCAGAATGCTGTAAATCTCAGTCAAAACGGCAGCACTAAGTCCCCCATAACCTTTCAGAACCCCAGCGACAGAGCCTCTGCTAGCAGGGAAGTTTCTCATGTTGGTCACCAGAACCGTGGTGGTGAACCACGCAGTACTGTTAGCAGCAATAAGAAGACAAAACCATAGCTGCAACCATCACATACAAGTAAATTACAGTCGCTAAATTTTCGGCAAAAAAGGTGTCTGGTACCAGAAGATGCTAAACTACGAAAATTAAAATTAAAAAAATCCTGTCCAAGTTTTAAATTTAATCACTTTGATCCGTAAGTATGTTGTCAGAGAAAGAGAGAGAGAGATTACTGACCAGTAAGAAATGAAGGGATGGGAGGGTCTGGGAGACGGCGAGGTACACAACGCCGTAGCCGAGGAAGGCGGAGAGGGAACCGACGAGGAGGATGAGCCAAGGGGGGAACTTGTTGCAGGCGATGCCGGGGAGGAGGCTTAAGTTTTCGCCGACGTCGACGGCCACACCGAGGAGCGTGACGTGGCGCTGGTCGAAACCCAGCACTGATTTCAAGGAGTGGGAATAAAGTGGGAAGGTGGGGGTGTTCCCCGCGGCGATCTGAACCCAGACGGCGGCGGCCAGCCCCACCCACGGTGGCCGACTCCCTCCCTTCTCCTTCAACATGGGGTAAGTAAAGCTATAGAATTGACGGTTTTAACACACCTGTTTTAGTTTTGGTGCATGATTGTGAAGGTGAGTGAAGCAAAGAAGAACACTTTGTGATGATTGTGATGTAGTTGTTAAGGAGAGAGAGAGAGAGAAGGGAGGAGATGCGATGTGGGAAAAAAGTGATTCCGTGAAAACCAGATTCACCTCAACTGGTTGTGTTGTGTGTTTTCGAGTTACAGGTTACTGTCACTGTCAGTGTCAAAGTATCAATTCTGCCACCAACCAAAGGTAAACCCTTCTTTATTTTTAGGAAACTTTTTCTCATTACCACACAAAAATAAACCGAATTTGGCATTCTTTGCCTTTGTGCTTGCATTGCATAATGTTCTAATATTTATGAATGATTGATATTGTGGATTAGAATAATCGTTGTGTTACGTTATTTTGACGTTATCAAAATGGGAAGATTCGAACATTTAAACCTGTTTCGGCACGATTTAGAATCTTAATCTAAAATATTTAAAGTTGTCTGTTTCGATGTTTAGTTGTATTATTTTTTCTTTTCTCTTTGTCCAAGCCGCGAGGGAAGGTGTCTCAAGAGACACTCCAACGCTCAAGTCAGGGACCTCGCGTAGTAATTTTGTAATCAACATTAGTTATCAGAGCTCTAAGTTCAGTTTAAAGTTACCTGTCTCAAACAAATATTTATAAATTATAATAACCTTACCGTTGGGTCCGACTCATTAACCACTAACAATATTAATTGTTAATAAATGACAATTATTTTCATTAACTCCCCGATAGTCATTACTATCGATTATCTTAACGGTTAATTTTACCAGTTGGTTTATTGACACTGAGAGTATCATGGGTTGGACAACTCTTGTGCATCTTTATCGTTCGGTCGGCTATGAGCCATAGTATCAAAAAAGACAATTAATTATAAGAAAATTCTTATGATATTAAAACAATTATTATTATTTGATTCTGCATGTTAAATTAGTGCGCAAATGAAATTTACGTGGAGTTTGAGGACGTGGATTTGGAATGATTGTTGTTGTTTGTTTTTGTATGTTAAAGTAGCTACCATTCTGCATTTCATGGTGTTTATATTAGTTGAAAAACATTTGAGACGAAAAGAAAATTGATGTAATTAAATTAAAAAAATTATATATATATATATATATATATATTTCAATTTTGTATTAATTTTTTGACAAAAATATATATTTAAGTTTTATCAAAATAAATAAGAATATTTTTTTCATAATTTTATTATAGATAATTTTTATTTATTTTATACATGATTATTATACTTTAAATAATTATTTTGATATAAGAAAGCTATTAATTTTTTTAAAATACTTAAATTAAAAAAAGTTACATTAAAGATAAAAATTATAAGATAATTAACTTTAATTTAAAATATTATTATTTAAAGGGGTAAAATAAAAAAGAAAATGTGAACAATCATTTATACATGTATAAATGTATAGATAATAGAAAAAAAATAACAATCATAATAATAACAGAAAGTTTTATTTCTTATGAATCTCAGCAAGTAAAATAAATTAAAATAAAAATATTAAAAAATGTTCTATTAACTCCTCTCTTCTTAGTTTTATTATATTTTAATAAAAACATATATTCAACATAATAAAATAATAAAAATTGTAATTTAATTTCTTGATAGTAAAAAAATTAAGATATTAGAAAGTATCGCATAAGTTTTTTTCAGAACAGTTAAAATGGAATTTATTTTTTAGTAAATAATTAATGCAATAAAATTTGTAAGAAATAATTGTATTATTAGAAAAATTTTATTTGTATATTAAAAAAAGGTTAACAAATTTAATATAAAATGATATTAAAATTTGTTCTCTATAATTATCAGTATCATTATTTGAGATATAATAATGATTTATACAGAATATAAATAATTAAATTTAATATTTTAAAAAGTTTAAATTATTACATTAACTAAGAAACTAATAGTGAAGAATTAAATTTAATATCAATATTTTTAAATTGTTCATGTAACATGTGGAATTATAAGCAGTGATATATATATATATATATATATATATATATATATATATATATATATATATGTGTGTGTGTGTGTGTGTTTAAAAGTCGAGATAAAACAGTAGTGGTGTCCTTAACGCCACGAAGAGCACCGTATTATTAAAGCCACGAGGAGCACATGTCTTGTCTTGAACTGTTTTCAATTTTTTTTTTAAAATTAAAATAAATATTTTATCAATTTTATTATATAAGAAATTGTTTTTTTAAATTTAACAATTTTTTCTAATTAATTTTTTCTATAAATTTAATATTTTTTTAATTACAAAATTACCTTCAAAATAAATAAAAAATTATGTTTAATTTTATAATTAGAATTATAATAATAATAATTTTATTGTTATAAAAATAGTAAACGGGCGCAGTGCATGTGTTTTAACTAGGTTGTTTTTTTTTAAAATTGAAAATTGTATAACGCCACATTAAAAAATTTTTAATGAAGAAGATCTTTAAAATTATTTTTACTTTAAAATTAAACATAAAATGATAATAATTGTAAAAATCCATAAAGTAGTTTTTTTAAAATAACGGGTAATGTGACTGATATTTAAATATTTTAATGTTAAAAATTTAAAGTATAAATAAAAGTTTTATATAAGAAGAGTTTCAACATTTCAAAGTCATATTATTCCTTTAAAAATAGTTTTTTTAGAGCTTTTCATTCTCTTTAGGGTATTCTACATGTTAGGTCATCTATTTAAAGAACACAGGATGCCAAAGTGATCACTGCAGCAAGGTCTTTTAATCTAACCAATCAATTTTCTTAAAAGAGTAACTTAGTTAATATTTTTTTTCTCGAGTTGTACGTATCTTCGTGCATGTAAGGATTTTTCTGTCGCATGTGTTTTCTTAGTTTTTTAGTATGTTTTTTGTTTATTAATGGTTCTAACAGCGTACCTTAATCAAAATTTTGTGGTTCATAGGTGCAGATAGAGGTCTTTGAGTTGAGGAAGCGGTTTTAGGTACTTTTGAGTTGTTTAAGCTCTTATCATGTAAGGAAAGCTAACTACCAAGTTTTGTTATTGTAATGTTTTGCTGTGTTGCATGCTTGATTTAATTAGAAATTTATAAATAGGTATGTGAAGTTGCTCATGTAAATTATATGGAATGTGTGCTCGTTCGGTCCTAGCATTTGTGGTATTTTCATGTTAAAATTATGTGGTAACTATCTCTTGAATGATTTTAAGGTTGGTGGTACGAGTTTGAGCAAATTAGGACTCGGTTAACTATTGGTCTTGCTTGGTTTTGGTCTAAAAGTGATGTTTTGATAGATGAATTTCTATTGGGAGTGTTGTTTGAGTGAATTGAATGTTGGAGGTCTTTGTTAGTGGTATTTAAGATTTAGGTAGCTTCTTAGTTCACTAAAATGTGGTAGTGATATGTAAAATAAGCATGTATGAATTTGAGTTGGACAATTGAGCAAATTGGTATTCAATTTGAGTTATAAAATGTTTTTAAAACAATTCTAGTGTCAAGAATATCAATTTGGTCATTTGGATAGGTCTTTAGTGCATCTAGATCAAGTTTCTAAGTTTATGTCTTCTAGTATGACACTCAACGCCCAGTGGCACTCAAGCGCCAGCTTTGCGAGAGGTTTGGTGCTCAGCAACATAGAGGTGACGCTCAAGCGCCAGCTTTGCGAGAGGTTTGGTGCTCAACAACATAAAGGTGACAATCAAGCGCCAGCTTTGCGAGAAGAATGACGTTCAGCGACAAGGATGTGTCACTCAGTGTCGTGAGCCTTTGCAAAACTTCTCTTTTTGCAATTCTGCTTCCTTCTATAATATTCCAGTATTTGATTTGGCATATAAGTTTATAGTAAATGATCTAGATACACCAAATAGTGGGGATTAGTAATGAAAATTGAATCAATACAACACAAGATGTTTTCTACACTCTTTAATGTATGTTTGTTTAAGATGTTATGTACACTGTCTGATAAATTAAGAATGATTTATGAATAGTAATTGTGTAATGACTTATTTGAGTGGATTGGTTATTATGATATAATGTATATTTGTTGATGCTTATAAATATGTTCATGACATATGATAATGAATGCGATGTGCGTGCGCGTGTGCGTGTGCGTGCGCGTGTGCGTGTGTCATATACTTTATAGTAGTTGAATACTATGAAAATTAGAATGTTACAAAAAATTTATAATAATTTAAATTTAAATTTAAATTTAAATAATAAAGTATATTTTATGATACATGAAAATCTATGCAAAGAACATTAGGATAATAAAAATCTTTTTCTATATACCAATTTTGAAAGAAAACTATGAGAACCCAAGCATATATTTAAAAATAATTTATAAAAATTTGGATAAAACTTTAGGCAGGAAATAACCAAAACTAAAAATATCTTTTTTTTAATATTCATAGCAAGAGAGAAGTTTCAATGTGGGAATTGCAAGTACAAGTGTAATACACTACAATTCCCCAAAGAATTCATCACTTAGGCAAACAAATAACTCCTTTTTCTTGTCTCCACAAATTCATGATTTTATCTGACATTAATTTGAATTTGAATTTGCATATGTTATTAAACATGGACAACTATCATACCTGCAAGCCATTGGTACACTAATTAACATAAAAAAAACATTCAAAACACCTTACACAAAAGTGAACAAAAAGACATTCTAAACATGTTACAATAGATTTTGACAATTAGACAATCAATATATGATACAAAGTGAGTAAAATCAATAGTAAATCATGGTTTAAGAATTTGTGTCTCCTTACTTCACAAATTTAGTATAAATTGGAAAAGGTATAAAACAAATTAAAACTAAATTTTATTGATATGTAATTAGTTTATGACAAAAGTAATTTCACAAACAAAGACATAAACAAAATATTCATAAGGGTTAAATATGTTTTTAGTCCCTAAACTATTGGCCGTTTCTGGTTTTCGTCCCTCTTTCAAAGTAAGGTACAATTTGGTCCTCATTCTTTTCGAAACGTTCGTTTTAGTCCTCGGAATTTTGGTTTTAGTCCTCGTTTGTTGCTAAATGAGGACCAAATTTTTAAACAGTGTTTAGTTTTCGAGGACTAAAACGAACGTTTCGAAAAGAATGAGGACCAAATTGTACCTTACTTTGAAAGAGGGACGAAAACCAGAAACGGCCAATAGTTTAGGGACTAAAAACATATTTAACCATATTCATAATTA